AGCATACTCATACGTAAAGATAAACAAAATTGCTTCGAAAAGTGGCACATCTTTAGAGGTTGGAAGCATGGATGTAAGGTCTGTGACGAATGCAATCACCATTCACATCTGGCCCTTTAGGGGCGCCTCTTTGAGGCATATTGTAAGACCTGTAAAAAAGTAGCGGATGGAATATATAGGCGATGTGAATGCGCTAATTTTCTAAGGGAGCCTCAAATAACTAACAAAATAAATCAGAATTAGCGTACCATAATTTTCATAATTTGTCACATAACAAAGATATTATAAGAAGTGCCAAGTCGAATGTGTTATATTTTAGTTTTATTTTTATTTTTATTTTTCTGTATCAATAAAGCTGATCATGGTGGCTCAATTTTGCTTATATAATTATGTTAAATCATGTTTACTTTATTTTGTGAATTTATTTTATCATTTTACAAGTGTATTTCCGAGATTAATCTGGATACATTAATATCATTGGGTATACATGATCGAGAATTTTTCTTGGCATTTTACACTTCCTAAACTAAGTTCAGGGATTTTTATCACGTAAATTATTTTTTTCTGATGTATACACATTCAAGCACACATAATTTTTTATTTGAAATTAAAGGCATTAACTAACAAAAAACATACTTCAACAACGAATGTAGGCACAGTCAAGACGTGTACATTAAAATTCTTTATCCAAAAACTTGTGATTAAGTTATATAAATTAATATTAAACATGCAAACTCAAAAAGACGAATCTAGAGCAGAGAGATAAAGAGAAAACTTCAGTGAATTGAAAATATTATATTTTACCTCGGTTGCTAATCTCCCAAATTTATGCTGTAGGTTCAAAATTACTTAATCTCGGAAAAGTCTTCTTGCGGGGAATATTATTTTATATTATTTATAGGCGAAGATATGTAAGGGATTATCTATTTCGAAAATCTAGTGCAGTAAAAGATGAGAATCTCTTAGTTAGTAATATTGATAGAAACAAATTAGCTTTCTAGAACTTAAGTGAGCAAAGAAATAATTTGATGCTGAGACTCGCCGAGGATCTGCATACTCCCTCCATCTTTGATAGCTACATCCATTTAATATATCTGAAAATTATTAGTTTTAGCCTACATCGGGCTTTATCTTTTTTATGATGGGTGTAATTGTGCATCAGAAAATAAAAATTACATCAGAATAAAAACGATGTGCTCACATATTTTTGATTGAGAATTTTTCTCTTAGCAAAGAGGCTACCAAGAGATAACTTGGATATCCACTAACTCATAACTTCACCGCCAATGTCTGGACCGTCATGAAGCTATGACGTCTCCTAAGCATCTAAAGATACAAAGGGAAGGTCTCACCGCCAATGTCTGGACCGTCGCGAGGAACTTCAGCAAAGTTAGTGGATCAACCGTCACCGCCAATGTCTGGACCGTCATGGACAGTTGTTAGCCTCAAGCAATTCATAACTTCACCGCCAATGTCTGGACCGTCATGAAGCTTGAAACATATATTGCTAATTTACTAACTATTATCTATTATACTTATTATCATATTAAAATGTATATTCGTTTCTATATTTGAACGACTATAATAATATTATAAAAAAGTAGTTAATTAAACTGTAATATACGTAGATCTTATTAAAACTCTTTAGAGAGTTTATTCAATAAACAATAAAACAACACTTTGTTTTCTTATTTTTGCTAAATCGTTACCTTGTTACTTCGTTTTACCTTGTTTTTTTTTTTGGTTGCTCAAACGTAAGATTTCGCCAATTTAGCTTACATATATACCTTTTTATGTTTGTATATCAGAATCCCGACACACAAAATCCCGACACACAAAATCCCGACAAATGAAAATCCTAAAAATATTAAAATTAGGAATTTAATTTGTCGGGATTTTGTGTATTGGGAT